GGCTAAAGTGGACTTTAATCTCAAAGATATCAGATTGTCCAGAGTCTGGCACAAGGTCTCATTAAACGGCTACCATGTAAGAATCAATCTTATTAAACATGATTACAGCGTGTCCCATCTATCATGGATGAGTTCACACGTTTTTAAGTGGATAGAATATTATCTAAATAACTTTCATGAATGAAAACTGCTTAAATTGAAACACTGGCCAATGCCAATGTGTGTGTGTGTGTGTGTGGTGGGGGGCACCACAAATTTATGACAGATGCACTTAAGTGTCAAAGAAAGGTTACTGACACTTCATTTACTCTATATATTTTGTGTGTGTGTGTGTGTGTGTGAGAGAGAGAGAGATAGAAAGCAGTGAAGCCGGGGAGAAAAGTTTGATTCTAAAGAAACAAAAGATTAGTAGATCTAAAAGTAATAAAGATATTTATAGTTTAGCTAGACTTAATGATGAATTTAGTATACAAATCTGTGTGTGTGTGTGTGTGTGTGTGTGTGTGTGGATATAGGTTAAGAAAACAGGAATTACTACTCACATTTCCAGAGACCATTTTTTTCCAATTCTAGAAGACCATTTAAAGTTTACATCTCTTCTCTGGAATTGTTTTTTCTCATTCAACATATTTACATATTCTGATGGGAACTAATTTTCTAAATTGCAAAACAATATTTAATGAATATCATCTAAAAGACTTGTGGAACATGAGAGTCAGTTTTGGTAGGAAAAACATATCTGTGTGAGATAAGGAATTATCCTTTGGTAAAATCTGGGATCCTGGTTGGCAAGAATTTTCAAAATTATTTGGAAACATTTTTTCAAGTAAGGTCAATAATTTTTTTTTTATTTTAAATGTCGAAGTCCATTGGTTTAACAATTAAAATAAAGAAAAAGAAAAGATCAAAGAATTTACATTTGGTGACACTGAAGAAAAACAATTGTATTTGATTCTGTGAATTTATGTTGGGCCTGGGAGATAACAGACTAACCAAAGCTGGAAATGGCCACTGACTCAGCAGTGATTAGAACTCATTATCAGATGATTTGTTTTTTAGTGGGTGCTGGGAAGGAACATCTTTATGATATGGGCCATAACTCTTGCTCCTTAATTTTTGGTTTAGTGTTGATGCTGTAAATATACATATTGCAAGTCACCAAAATGGAAAAATGGACTGAATGGAAAAAGAAGCGAAAAGGAATTTCTCACCTCAGTTGTGTGCATAGAATTCTAGAGGTCAACAGAGGTCAACATTTAAGAGGGAAAAAATACAAGTTGTTTTCCTTTCTTTCATTAATTTTTCTTTTTGAATTGTAGATAAAAATGGCCAAAGTTGTCAAGAAAGTTTTAAGCAGCTGGCTCCACCGTTTTATTAAAAGCAGTGGAATATAAACTCTTTCATTCCAGTCAAAGACAGAAGAGGTGGGGGAGGGGAAATTGATGATGGCAGGGGTGGGGAGATCATCATAAAAAATGGCAAACAAGAAACTACAAAAGAATTGATCAAAATCTGATCAAAATACACTCGTAAATCAAGTCCAATTGGCGACTTTTATAAAAATGAAGTTTCCTTAATGTTAGTAAAGGAATTTCTGACACTTCTATATAAGAACTTGTCTTCATGGATGTTTCTTTCTCTATTATGGTCTTGTGTCAGACTAAGCTAAATAAATCTCTATAGTTTATGTTTGATGTTACAAAGAAACTCTTATTGTAAGTGGAACTTATATAATAAGCAAGACAAGAAGACAAAAATGTCAATGACAGAAGTTGAAGAGAAGAAATCCTGTTTCAGGAATCGATCTCTACACTTTTAATTTGACCCCAGGGAAAACTGAACATGGGTTAACGTCTAAGATTTAATTTTAAAGAAAAATGCATTCACTGCTTCCCCCACCACAATGCTGTTTTTTTTGTTTTTTTTTTTGCATTATTTAAGGTCTTAAATGCAAACTTAGATTAACAACGAATTAATTTGCATAACTGACTGAAATTATTTAGTTATAAAATAGAAAAAAAAAAAAAAAACTATTTCCAGCTATCAACTAAAAAAATGTCTTCCAGACAAAATCCCTGTTGAATCATAGAAATTGATTCTGGTCAAAATAAAGCTATATGGAAGGAGGGAAAGAAAATTCTTGATAATAGCCACCAAAACATAGCAGATTCTAGAAACACATTCAAAGATGAACAGGTTGTCTTATATATTAATAGCACCCATTCTTTTATTGACAAGTGTATACCTTGCTTAACTCTGTCGATCAAGCAAAGCCTAATAAATTAATTTGATTCAGTCAGTGAGAAGAGATTAACTCATTTGCATTGCAATTTACACAAACCGCTGTACTGACCCCTAAAAGCATAGATGCCTGCTCATAAACCCAATCTATCTTGTTAAAGATACAAAGTTTTCAACCAATCAGAAAGTGTCTCCAGTCGGGTAAGCTGATGACTTTCGATGTATATTTTGTGGATGGAAGGGAGACGCAAATGGTCAATGGAACAGGGTAGGGCCAAGGTGGATAAAGAGTTTTGCCAAAAGGAAAAGAAAAAAAAGTCAAAGAAACAAATAAACCAAAAGCCACTCTCAGAATGTTTAAGCAGATTATAATTCCGAATATTTAACGGCATTTCCATCGATTCAATAAAAGGAAGAAAAATACAAACGGAAAATGGTGAATGATAAAATTGTAAAACAATTTTGTTTACCAAGTTTTATATTGCGAGTATAATTTCTTTGAAGTATTTTGTTTTTATCTTTGTAAATATGAATGGTTCTTGAAAATCAAGGACAAAGTGTCTAGTATAGCAGAGAAAAGAACGTGAGAAATGGGTGTGTTAATCAAAGTCATCTCTTATTGGACAATTTTTAAAATTGATGGGAGGATTCAGATTATTAAACCAGTTATATTTTTTAATTGAAGAAATGAAAAACTATTTTTGAGTGAATTTTTCAGAGTTCCCACTTCCCTTTGATTACTAAAACTGGTTAACTTTTTAAAAATTTGTTTATAAAATGTAAAAAAAAAAAGAATAGTGAAATAGATGGAAATTGTCTCAAAGAAACAAAAAATGAAATTTAAAACCAGGTTATACAACAAAAATAAAAAAATATAAGGGAAAATACCCAAACCCAATGCTAAAAAAATTATTTCATTTCAATTCCAAATAAATAAAAATAGAAAAAGAAAATTGTAAAAAATTCAATGAAATAAAAAATTAAAAAGAAAATAATTGAATTGATTTACGAGTGTATATAAAAAAATTTTTTTTTTCTTTTTATAAATCAGAAATTATTTTTAGAAGTCTCAACAGTCTTTGGAATTACCAAAGAAAAGAAAATGTCTAAATGTTACCATATTGTAAAAAGGGTACATTTGTTTTTCTATTTTTGTAACCTTTGCAAGTTTTTCTTTTGCTATTGAAAGAATCTAGAATCAAATAAAGATGGCGAGCATGTCAGGACATAAATATTGACTGAGAGAGTAAAAGGATTTTTTAAAAAAAAAAAAAAAAAAAATGATTCTCAGAATCTTTTCAAATATTGACAAAAATAACTAAGAATCACATTTAGTTCAAATTAATGAAAAAAAAATCCGCTTTTTCCATGTAGATTTTATTTATGGCAGTCTCGAGAAATATTTGTTCCTTTTGCTTTCCAAGGGACACCACAGACATGTGCCCTTAGCTCTTCTAAAATGGCCCAAAATTTAATCTTTGATTTTGCTCTCTAAATTTGTCTTGAAATGAAAAAATCTGAGAATTCACTTAAAAAAATGCCATTTTCGGAATATGGCAGCATTTGAATAGGAAGTCAGCAAAAGGACGAGAATTTTATCAAAAAAGTTTTTTAAAAATGACTTTTCACAATTTGGTAACATTCAAACAATGGAAAAATCCTCATGGAATAAAACAGATTTCCCAGACTTGGATGAACAAGTCATTCAGTCAACCTGGAGTTCTTGAAAATACAATGTCTCACTGTTGATTTCAGTTATAGATTTAGAGATCTCCTTTTGAAATGCAAAAGTCTCAACAATACAGAAGGTTTCCAAAGATCTCTTAAGATCCTATTAAATGCTAATGGCAACTGGAAATTACTTTCAAGTAAAATTACAGATTTCTTTTAATATTTCAATTCTAACCTAAATGATTGTGTCTGCTTCCAAATCTACCCTGAATAAAAGATCATCAAGTACTCTGGCTTTCTGATCCCAGACAAAGTCAGGAGATTGGATTCTACAGAACAAGCTGCATTTATTGAATTCTTGGTGGTAGTTAATGATACAAAAAAGTACAAGAAAAAATAACATTATTTAAAAGACAAACTAGACCATGAACGGAAATCTAGTTTTAAGTCTGAATCACACTGGTTTAAAAACCCTGATGAAAGCAATTTGCTTCGGCTGAAAATGTTTGACATATCTTGATAGTAAAACGAAGCGACTTGGCAGATTTGATTTATTTTAGAGGAAGTTTGAAATTCTAATTTTGATTTGACACATATTACCAACAGAGAGACAGTCATTTCAAAAACATATATATATATATATATATATATATATATATATATATATAAAAATGCCAGGTTTTCTATAAAGGAACAAGCCTCAAAAATGGTTTTGGGGGGGGGGGAGAGGAGGAGAAAAGGGGATATAACAGCACAGTTGCTATCCACCCAGGAAAGAAGAAAGTTATGAGAGAGGAGGGTGGTACTAGTGGAGGCAGGGAGTCATATTGGAGGAATGCATCATTTGACTAAATTGTTTTTCATTGTAAGGAGTAATAATCATAGCTGCTGTTGTAATAATAGTATTATCCTCTGTGTGTATGTGTATATATATATATATATATATATATATATATATATAGGTATTTTATATATATATATTATAGCTGCTCTAGTGGTCATAATAATAATACAGTTATTGGTAGGCACTGGATAACAACTGGTGGGCTGTTCTAGAAAGTAGGTTGATGTTTCTGATTTTATTGTTCTCAATATCTGAAAGAAAAAAAAATTCAAAATGAAAATAGCAAAAGAAAGACAATTTTCTTTATAAAAATGTACAAGATTTCAAAAATAAAAATTCACTTGTGGCAGGCAAAAAAAAAAAAAAAAAAAAAAAAAACGAGATTCAAAAGAATAGCCAATATTTATGTTACTTCATGAATTTGGATTTCGAGGATTTGTGTTTTTTTTATGAACATTACTGAACATTTATTTATTTTTGTGTGTTGAATAGTCCAAATAGATTGAGCTCACTTGTCTTCAGTTGCTGCCAGACTGAACTCAAACCCTCTATAAATAATAGGGAAGACTGGGCTTTCTAGCCTTGGTAGGGCAGCCATTCTTGGGGGAAGGAAAACCCTGAATTTAAAGTCATCCTGAAGAGAGATGGTCTCTGTTAGGCTATCTTGCTATTGACACACCTGGTACTATTACAGCTACAGTGCATGCAGTGCCCCCCCAAAACAATAGACTCCTAAATCAGTGAACAAACAATCTTCACAAGAGAGAAGAAAGATCAAATCCAACCCTATCCCTTAAAATAGGAGGCTCTAAAATTTAATTTAATTATGCCTAGATTTTCCATCTATGAATCTATCTGATAATTTGTTTTACAGTTTTTCAAATTTTCAGTAATACATTCATTGATAAAAATGTAGAAATGAATTAATTGAACAAAAATGGGAAGGTTATGGAGGAAAACCCAAAGATTGCTGAAAACAAAAGTTTCCAGAAATTAAAGATTATTACTTGATTTCAGATTTCAGAAAAAAAAAGTGTCTGGAATCAAAAACTGATCATTCCTTTGATTGACAGATATTTACAAAACTTATTTTATGAGAATTCTTTGCACAAAGTCATTTGTTGTTTCCATCATTTTTACTGGTGTGCTCTCTAACCTGTCTCAAGTATATTTAATCTTGAATATTTTAAATTTCTCTCTTACGTCTATCTCTTCATTTGACATGTAATGATCTTTAGAAAAAAGAATGGAGGAGGTTTTGGTGCTGTTGACAGGAGGAGAGATAAAAAATGAGAACACCAGTTGAAGCAACAAAGAATCTTGATGTAAATCATTCAGATATTAATAGCATGTCGGAAGCTTTCATAATTTTCCATGTCAAAAAAGAAAAAAGGGCCGAGCTCCATGGAGGACTATTTGTAGAGATCCTGAAGAGTGTTTAGAGGAGAAAAGAAAAAAGGCAGGAACTCAATGGCATCAATGAAGAAAATTTTGCAAAATTTGGTTCCAATCAAAAAGGAACAACTGCCAAAAACATCTCTCTCCAAATCTATAGACAAATCATATTGATGCATGCAGGGATTTCTTCCTAATAAAATAGACCACTTCTCAGTCTCATCTGCTATATTTTTATTCATTTTTGTCTTGAAATCAAGATACTATAATCACTTGACAGTATCCCTTTTGCATGTTAAAACCATTCTTACATTGTTAAATTTTTGCTTTATTACTATTTCTTTGCATACTTTTGCCTTGTGTGTGTGTGAGGATATATATATATATATATATATATATATATATATATATATATATATATGTATGTATATATTTTGTTTGCTTACTATTATTTTGTTCTATTCTTTTTTCTTCCTTCCTTCCTTCTTGTTGGAAACTTTGTCAGTTCAGGTTGTTGAAACATTTTTCCAATTACACTTAACTATGACCAATTAATTGACAGCAGACATTGTCAGATGATAATCTTTATCCAAGTGTCAAAACAGTGATTTGGATTTTCTGGTAGAATATTTGCATATCTATTTACCTGACCAGTTAATTAACCATGGCTTCCACAACTGACTGACAATTTCTCTTCTGGCCAGATATTCTAGTTTGTCATTAATACTGAGGAGAGCACTCATTCCCAAAACAATGACAAGCCATTTTCTTGGATATACTTGTGCAAGGTCACTGCAGAGTGTCAGGTAAACATTCATAATAAAAGACAGGAAAGTTAAGGGATAGATGTAGATGTCACACTTACCGATAATAGTTAGGTTTAAATGGCCCAGCTTTGTTTAAGCCAAGGTATTTGGCTTGTTCGTCTGTGAGTTCTGTAAGATGGGCATCAAATGTTGGCAAGTGTAAACTGGCCACATATTCATCTGCAAAAGAAAAAAGAAAAAAGATGTAAAATCTACCATCATTTAGAGATTTTCCCACCCACAGATTTAGTAGGTGAGACACGCACTGATATCAACAAATTAGCTTAGCTGTTATTCGTTGCCAGTCAAGTAGGTGGAAGTTTGTGGAGCAATTCTTTGTAATTGGATTATGGCATCAAAGAATTCAAAGAAAGAAGACCAACCAATGACAGCAAATATTGAATATAAAATCTGTATAGAAAAAAAAAAGAATCATTTATTTCAAGATAAGTAGCAGGGTATAATCAGAAACTAAGGATGAGCAAGAATGGCTGATGGCTTTGCAAAGAAAGTATTGAATACAAGCCAGCCTAGATATTCTTGTGTATGATGTAATTTACAAGCAATAATCCAAATTGGATTAATGGTCAGGTTGGCCTGACAATAGCCAATAAAATATTCCCAAGTTGCAGTGAACAAAATAAAAAGAGAAAAGATAATGTCCAACCTTCTAAAGAGAGAACTTCACATTAAGAACCTGAAAAAGGAAATCCATTTTGGGTAACAATTTAACAATTATAAAAGGATACACTTACCCATTTTCTTTGGCAGGAGGTAGACATCATCTTTGTATCGGCCAGCAGGGGCATTGTAGAGTTCTATCAGGGCAAGAGCCTGGATAGTAAATAAAACAAAAGAGAATCTATGATTTCTGAAGTCAGCACAAAAGGAAACGGTAAATTTTTTTTTTTGTATTGTAAATTGTTTGAAACATAAAGTCTATTAGGTGAATGTCGATCCAGGTACCCTACAGGAATTTCCAAACTGAACCCATTACTTAATCTGCAGGGATAGGTTGTTCTTGTTCCATTGTCCTTGTCTAGGGATATTTCATCTAATTATTATTTTAATACTATTCAGTTATTGCTCAACTTTTTTCAACTGAGTCCAAGTTCACACTGCCTGGCCCAGGGATTGAACTCACAATTACTACGTCACCAAATTCACAAATCAACTCTTTAATCCATAGGACAGTTTATGTCTACAGATATCTCGTCTAGTTCTTATTCTATTTTTTTTTCAGTTGTTACTTTCCCCAGTTTCCACAAAGTACACATTCCCAATAGAGGATTTGGCAGATTATATTCAAAACTGGAAAAAATACTGAGATAAGTGAGTGAGATTCAAACATGTATACTTTGAAGAGGACTAAGGCATTACTTGCTCTAGGTAAAGATTTTTTTATTTGTCTGTAAATATTGAATGTTTGGATGCTTTATTAAAGTTCATTTGTACATCATTTGTCAAAAAAATATAAAGCATTTTCCTAAAGCATTGGCTAAGATCATTGAAGAAAATAGGTTTCTTCCTGAACAGATTTTTAACATTGATGACACTGGAAAAAAATATCAGGCCATTCTTTCATTGCTAATACTAAGCCTATATTGCTGATAAATTATTTTATTCAGAATACTGTATGTACATATACTGTAATATGCAATGGGGGAGTGCTTATTTGTGGTTTATAGTGTGGTTATTTTGATCTAAGTTGTGACCTCTGGAACCAATTAATGACATAGGGTGAGGTATATATATATATATATATATATAGAGAGAGAGAGATAGGATGTTTCCATATATAGAAAAAAATAAACATTTTATGTTGGACAACTGCTTTTATTTATATAACATGCTCTATATGGTTAATATTGTTTCAAAAATGCATATTAAGACATGTTTCTCATTTACATTAGTCGGACTATTGTCCTCATCTTTGTCACCATATTTGTCACAACGTTTCAGCTGTTGTACGCTCCGGCCTTCTTCAGGTGGTTGGAATTTCGAACTGAACCCTTTATTTCAAATTCCAACCACCTGAAGAAGGCCGGAGCATACAACGGCCGAAACGTTGTGACAAATATGGCTACAAAGATGAGGACAATAGTCCGACTAATGTAAATACTGTACATAATACCTCATCTCAAATATAGACAGACTATATTTCTCATTGTTGATGAACATGCATTAGCACAGTTGAAGTTATGCTTGTAATGGCGTTGGTGATATATTCCTTGACATAATTTATATCTTGTATCTTCACCTGATACACCATGGTTAAGTGTCCCAAAAGATAGAAATCAAGGGAAGGGAGATCTAGGGATCTTGAAGGCCACTCAACAGGACCATGGCAACCAATCCAAGCATCCAGAAAATGCTGATCCAAATACTGACATACTTGCATTTTCCTATCCATGCCCACCCTATATATATATATATATGTTTGCTATATTTATGAGAGAAGAGTAATCAGTATTGTAGAGTGTGTTTATAGATATGAACAATGTAAACATCAACACAATATAGTGACCATCAGTTTCACACCTGAACCAATCTTCTGAACATGGTCAAAGGAGTGCTTGAAGTGTGAAACTGACAGTCACTATGAAGTGTTAATTTTTATGTCCATGCTGTTTATGTTCAAACATGAAACAGATAATCACTGCTCAGTGTTAACCTCAGAGTCCACTATTATATTTATATACAGTCTATCCTTTTAACTATAAATACCTTTAAAATATATTTTTATCATACATACATATATGTATGTGGCCTGTATTTATTTGAGAGACAATTATATATATAGTTCCGTTAATGCTAGTTGTTCATGTCAAAGTTCTAATAAAGAGTCAGAACTTCAAATGTTGATTTTTCAAAGCTGGCTGCAGCCCTACAGCCAACTTCAAAGATTAGTTTCACAGAATTTTTAGACATCATACAAAAAACCTCCTATACTTTATTAAATTGTTCTATCATATTAAATGTGAAAAGAGTGAGGTACCTAGTGAGGATCAAACTCATTTTAACAAATCTGGAAGATAAATAAAAATACATTTGCAAACAAACATTTCAATTTCTGCATAGATGGACAACGATTTTTGAATGTAGCAAAAAGATTCTTCAGTATGAAGTCATGAACTTCAGAGTTTGTATTTATAGACAAATAATTTTGGATATCATTATCTTCTGCTGGACAATCCTGAGGCTACATAAGGCAATAGTCATAGCCATTTACAAGTTGGTTTGTAACACCTTAAACAATGGACAGTGATAATTATTTTGTTTTTTTTTTTCACTGTAAAATTCATATTCATATGTTTGCCATTGATGGTAGAAACTTTGTCAACACATTAAATTTCACCATTCATGTTATTCATAGGAATTTCTGTAGTGTAGAATCTTTTCTCTTGAAACATTTTCTACATATCTTAATGCCTCTGCAAGAATTCTCTTCTGGCTTCCTGATTTCCTAAAATCAAAACTACATTCTTCAAAAATTTAAATACAATGTTAATCATTGTTTTTGTTCTTGTAATTTGTTTTTATATCACACTTTTTCTCCCTCAATAACATTTTCTTTATTCTCTTTCCCTCTCAGTAACCCTTTGCATCTTAGTGGCTTTATCACCTTGTTTGGGGGTGAAATGATTAAAAAAAAGAAAAGAAAAAAAAACACTCACCTGGGTAGAGGCAGTAATTGACACAACAAATGAGGGGACACTTGAACAGCTCAGGTTGACCAGTCGACCCTGATGGAAATAAAATAAAAATAAAATACAAGCAACTAACCAACACTAAAGCCAGAATTTCCTAAATTGAGAATGGAAAACATGACACCTGTATGGAGTTTGACTTTTTCAGAGGTCAGAGGTGGCAACATTAGTCTTTTAAAGAAACCATCATCAAAATATTTGCTTACAGCTCCAAAATTTACTTTGAGTGAAGAAAATTGAAATGTGAAACTCATGTAGTGGCAGACAAATCTTGTAGAGTCAGCCCAATGGTTGAACACATATTGTCAACTTCAAAGGTCTGTACCAAAATCTAAAGTACAGTGGAATAAAATATATAAAATTTAATTAGAGTAAAATGTATAAAATTTAATTAGACTAAAATAAAATGTATAAAATGCAATTATAGTACATAAACTACTCAGTAAAATAAACTACATATCCAGTTTGGGTTGATTTGTACGGTACATTTCATCACTGCAGTTTATTCCGTTAACTTTTTCCATACATTTACTGTACTGTACAATTTAATAAATGACTTTACATGTACAATACATTTTCAATTTTAGTGGATAATTTTTGTAGCCCATGATGTCACCCAAGAAACTGGTTACTACTAAGAGAGAAAAAATATCTGTTTAAATAAAGAAGGAGGGGCTATGAGCTCTGATAAAGTTCCTTTGTTTCAGAGGCATTTTGAAGTGACCGAAAATACAAATATTTGGGAAGGATCCCTTCAATATCCTAAATTGCTTAAATCTCATTGATAAAGACTGGGAAAGAATCCCAGTGATATATTTATTATTATTTGTGCATAATATTTAAAAAAGTACTTTAATTTTGCATAAAATACAATTTTTATATCAATATTTTCGGGGCTTGAAATAGAATTAATTTCTCTTATTTTAAATGGGGAAAATTGTTTTGACGTACCAAATTTCCAGTTACAAATCCACACCTGGAATGGATTAAATTCATAGGTTGAGGTTCCACTATATATGATTCTTCTAAACAGGTCTAAAACTCCTTGCATAACTGCTGATCCAAGCACCTCCCCCAAAATACCCAATTCAAAAGATGACAACTCCATTTACTCATTCAGAGTATACAGTAGCAGATGACAACACAGGACTTTTTGGCCTGGAAGACTATCTAAAGAAAATGGCCACTGACCATCAATTTGCACTTGACCAACAGTATCTCACTTCTGCATCTCCATCAGTTCAACAAAGCCAGAAGTGGTGTGTCTGTCATATCCTTTGATGTTCAGCTGGATAAACAGATTGGCAAAAACAAGTCTTTTGTGAACTACTCTACAAAAATCTTCAGAAAGACAGAAAAACGTAAGGGCTACAAAGTCATCAATGTTGTCTAGCCTTCTTTATGGAGACAAATGCAAGGCCATATATCAACAGCATCTGTGTCTTCTTGAACGCTTCCATCAGTTTTGCTTCCACATAGTTCACAACATTCATGCTCTGAAGTCAACAAAAATCATGAACACTGATGTCAAGGCTTGAGTAGCCGTCTATCTCCATGATATTGTTGATATTTGGTGGAAATGTTTAGCTTTCCCTGCCAGAAAGTCAGGCCTAAATCCACCTTCAATTATTTTCTAGTCTCTAAGTTTATTTCAACACCATTTTATTTGAGAATAAGCTGAGTAATTATCTTTTAAGAACAAACTGATGAACTTTCATATGGGGCCCATTTCCATGCTTAAGTAAAAATCACAAACTATAATGTCCACATTGAAACATAACCAAACTGAAGACAGCATGACACCCTAAAGACACAAAACTCATGTCTTATTGCAAAATATTTCTAGATTAATTATTTTCTTGAGAAGCTTGCTATCTATTACACTACTTTGAGGTGCCCAAGGCAGGTGGCATATAGGCAGTGCCAAGGCACACATAAGTGGCACATAGGCGGTGCCAAGGCACACATAAGTGGCACATAGGCGGTGCCAAGGCACACATAAGTGGCACATAGATGGTGCCAAGGCAGGTAAGAGATAAGCAAAAGTGAGAAGGGCCACTTCTTGATTTACTGAGAAGCACATTTCACTTCCTTTCCTTTCCTACAATAGTCACACCAGCTTGACAGATGGGCAAAGTGTTCCAAAGCTGGACTCATCCCTAATTATAGATTTATTCATGCTTAGCATATGGTTATTGCTCGATAACTTTCAAACATGAAGAGTATGGTGGCATTGCAATGACATGCCATTAAATTAATACTGAAAGCTTCGAAAAATGTCAGGGTGGGGAGGGGGAGGAAAAAGAAAACAGAAAGAAAAAAGTAAAAAAAAAAGCAGAGGTAAAAGATAAACATAACAAATAAGAATACAGAGCAAATAAAAGGTAATGAAAAAAAAAAAGATATTAAAACATTTGAATCTTTGTTAAAAAAAAAAAACAAAGAAAAGAAGTGGATAAATAATCTACAATATTCTGAAGGGAAAAAATAAAGAAATAAATTTAAATTTCATCCCCTGAAAACCATCAGCCCAATGACAGCATCGAATAAAAAAAAAGAAAAGACGACAACATTTTTTATAGACTTGCACATAAATGTATTCAGTTGTAAAAGGTGAAAGTGGATGCGTTAGATTTGCAGCAGTTAGGCAATCAATTGGGAAAATGTCAGCAGTTTATATCACTTGCTGTAATGAGCGAATATTGTATTTCTTGTTTTGTAGAAAGACAAATGACTTCTGTCCATTCCGAAGGGAACAATTCAGGCAAGCGATGAAGTGAGATTGTAATCAATCAGAAATTGAGTAGATAACCATGAACAGTTAGCCATAAATTATATTCTAGGAAAGTCTTTAGGAATCACCTGTTGGCAAAAGGTTCTAAGCAATGCTGGGGGAATTATTGAATGCTTGAGAGTTTATTGCTAGAGTGATTAGATCTATACAAGAATAATCAATCAATGCTGACTGCAATCAAGATGATCCTTTCATTCAATGCATAGTCTATGATTTGCCAGTGTTACATAGGATTTTCGTTTCACACTCATCTCTCTCCTAGACTGGTTGTCATCCAAGACGGCCATCCTATTTAACCTATAACTGGGGGGATCTATGGAGTCATTTCATTTCTCAAGGGTATTTGTGCGAAAGTGAATGTTAAGAAACTCGACTGGAATGAAAACTTTGTGCTCCAATTTTTTGTTCCAAGCCTCTATCAGTTACACCTCCTGCACATCACATCGCTATATATAAATAATTATTCACGTATAGTGATGTGCAGGTGATGCAATATTATAATTATAGCTTCGGAACAGCTTTGAGTATTTAAGTGTTTCAGACATAATAAATATTAAAAAAAGAAAAGAAATGTATTGTCTCACGAGAATTATCAACACTAATTGACTTGAATAAATCCTAGAAAAGAACAGTAAACATTTTATATTTGATGCTTTGGTCACCCCCTTTAGTCATTTTATTTTCATATTTGATGCAGTGGTCATGCCTTTGGTCATTTCATATTTGATGCAGTGTTCACTTCCTTTGTTCATTTCATATTTCAGATATTGGTCACCCCCTTTGGTCATTTCATATTTCATGCATTAGTCACTCCCTTTAATCATTTCATATTTCAGGTATTGGTCACCTCCTTTGGTCATTTCATATTTGATGCTTTGGTCACCCTTTCTTTATTGGGTGGGGAAGATTTTTGTGATAATTTCTTAAAATATTTTTCATATGCTTTAAAATAGGTATGGTGTTCTAATACCCATCAATAACAGGGTCACACCCCAAATATGTCATGAACTAAACTTTTCTAGACTAAAACTCAAGCCTTGTCAATAAATCTAACACAGACTTTGATTGTGTTCATGCTTTGGTCTCAATGTCATCAATATTGATCTTCTAACCTGATTACTAATGACTAACATTTGCGTTGCTTTCAGCCAAAACAATTCTACATAAAATATGTCTGTTTTTGTATGTTTTTCATTCCAAATGATTTCAAATAGACAGCTTCAAATTTGTTAACAGTGATTCCTACAAAACAAAGTGGCATTGCCATTCTGATTATTAAAAGTGGGTATCAAGGATACAAAAGATCACATCTAGTAGTGATTGGTATACAGCAAGTCTACTAACATCAACACAATTTTAACCTTTTGTACTTTGCTTAAAGCTGAAAGAATTTCTGTTGTATTTTTATTTTTTATCTGATTTATCAACCAAATTCTATTGAAGCAAATGCAACTCAGTGGCTTTCAATGAGACAGTGGGAATGGTAGAAAGGAGGATAAAGTCTCTGTACCTAATCTGGTAATCTCAATTTATCATGGGTCAGGATCTCATTGTCTCTATTTTCTTAATGAATTATGCAAACAAATTTTTTTTCTAAAACCTAAAATGGTTTTAAAAAATGCAAAAGATGATGGAATGACATCAGAATAGGGAAAGGGTTAAAAATACTTGTAGAGCTGGGTTCTAAACATGGGATACCAAATTAAGGACTCGAATGTGAATAATTTGAGGATGAATTACAATCCTTTATCTCCCATTTTCAATGAAGACCAAAGAACTCATGAATCAAAATCGATAAAAAAACTGAAATGAGGATTATAATGTGAAGAATTCAGAGAAAATTCCTATATTTAGACTTTCACATTGTAGGCATGAAATCAAAAATTTCATTATGCAAAAAAAAAATAAAAAAAAAAAAAAAAAAATGAAAAAAAAAAAAAAATAAAAAAAATGAATAATTCAACAATGTGATAAGTTCGAAAATTAACTTTTTCAATTTTAGAAAGTATTTAAATTACAGGTGACAGCTACCTTTGTTTCTAAAAATACCTGAAAATGATTAAACTTACCTCTGCTAACAACACAATTCTTTTGCCATCTGGCCAGATGATGTGGTCAACTTGTGAACGCACCTTCTCCCATGTCAACTCCTGTGTACGAAGACTTCCCTGAGAAAGAAAATGAAAAACTTTGGATTGGCAAAATGCTTTGGATTATAAAATAACATTTAGATTTTAACTGAAATTTTTCTTTAGCTAAAATCATTTTACTCTGAAATTATTCCTGCGTTATTTAAATACTGGCCTTTGATACACCAGAGAGTCATCTTGATCCTCAGACTGCACAATGCATACCTTTAATGATCAGCCTCCTATCCAGAATATGAGTAAACACATTATTTTGGAATAATTTTTTTAAAACTACATTTTATAACAAAGGGAATTTAAATGAGCCTTCCTTGATACTGTGGAAGGCTCATTTGGATTTCCACTGAAAAGTTTTAGAAACATTATACATATATATATATATATCCAAACAGAATCCACCATTCTTAGCATTTACTTTTTTAAAAAAGTGCTTGATACAACAGAGAGCAAAATATTATTTTAATATTTTTATTATACAATATTTTACATTGCTACACAAAAGATTTTATTCCTCATCAGGTGATGTTGGATAATTTATGATAAGTTATCCAATATTGCCTGATAAGAAACAATTTTTAGTTCCAGAACAGACATTAGTGTGTAGTGATGTAAAATATTTTATAATAAAAATATTATATATATATATATATATATAATGTAAACCTAAAGAGCCAGGCAAACCTACCTAGGTTTCACCTAAACAGATCGTCAGGGTAAACCATTTATATATATATATAAATGTGTGTGTGTGTGTGTATGTATATATATATATAGTCTTTCCCACCTTGTCTGTAAGTAGGAACAGGGGCCTCTAGGCCTGAATCTTATCAGCCTTTGATGCTGATATATTTAATATATAACATCCTTTCTTCGAGTGTTCACCTTTTTTATTCACTGTGCACGTTTTTTTTTTTTAATCTTCAATAAAGCTCTGTTGAGAGAGAAATGAAAACTGATTAAGCACTTGACTTTTTTGCTTTACTTCTTTATAGGAACCACATTGTTAATGTTTCTTCTTGTTTCATTTTAATATGCCTGTTTTTATTGCAACTCTTGAACAAAAGAATTCTGAATCACAATAAAAATAAAATACAACTTCAATAACAAGTCTTTTGAAATAATTTGGAGTGTCACTGTACAAGGTACAATAGCTTTAAAATATTTGACAGGTATGAGGGTACCTAATTGCAAAAATGCCATATCTTTTACAAATACTGAACAACATAGATAAGGACACATTATAACAAATGCAAGCCCTGTCTTTGCGGGCATAGAATGTATTTCATAATAATCTTCCTATCAGTTTTCCAAATCAAGCAAAATTCATTTGTCATAGAAACATAAAAGGAACAAATGTAATACTATTTTTCTTTTTTTTTTTTAAGTGTGACAAAGTCATTGATTCAACTGTGTCCAACATAAATTTGCAACTTACCACATCAATTTCCGTATTAGAGTGACCCATATTACATACAATGCAACCATTTTTCAAACGGTCTAAATGCTCCCTGGTTACAACATTTTTATTGCCTACAGGAAGGGAAGAGAAAAAAAGATAAAATTAAAAGTTTCTTTTAGAGGAAAAGAAGAATTGTGTATAAAAATGAAACAAATTATTTCAGAATGAGAGAAAAGATTAGAATATATGAAAGAAACTTGATGGATTTCAGTGAAATCTGATCTCTAAAATCAAACTAATCCTATTTTACTTGAGTAGCACAGTATGAGGCACAGTTGCTTTTCAGATAATCGTCATGAGTTGCACACTTTTCAGATGTCAGGCATGAAGTGTGCACGCTTTAGACAATCAGCATGAGGCGTACACTTTCCAGATGCCAGGCATGATGTGCGCACTCTTCAGATAACCTTCATGATATGTGCATCCTAAAGGCAACAAGCGCAAGGCTCTTTAGATTCCCTGTAGTTAGATAGAATTTTATTGAAAAATATTCAATATTTTAATGCCTGTTGTTTTTTGATTGATGATAAACAGTCATTTTTGCCATAGGACATTTCAGACAAATTTTGATTTATTTTTTAACAGTTTATCAACCTTTTGTAGTTTATTTAAAGCCAGAAAATACTTTTAGATTGTAAGAATTTTAGGGAGATAATAATGATTTACTGATTACAAGTCCTACTATTTAACCCATAACTGGGGAGAGAAGAGGCAGATTCATACCTTTCCCAAGGTTATTTGCATGTAAGTGAATATAACAAACCCGACTGGAATTGGAACTCGGCTCTCCGATTTTGAGACGTTATCCGTTACACCCCCGCATATCCAAGCTTACAGCACCTGGTATTCTCAAGCAGTCACCCACCAAGGTACTGACCAGGCTCAACCATGCTTAACTTCGTTGATCGTACAAGAACCGGTATTTCAACATGATATGGCTGTAACCTTGATTTTTGAGAAAATGCAACAAACACGAGGCGTAAATACAGAGAAATGGTCTGACATTTATTGAATTATGAAATATTTTAAAATTTACATTTTCTTTTTGCCATGCAAATAAACGATGATGAAAGTTTAAAAGTTTGTATAAATTACAGAAATTTAAAGAAAGTTACATTCAACATGTGAGTAAACTGCAATTTTAGTCCAAAATTCAAAGACATCATAACAAAATATTAAAAAAGCTTTCAATTTGGTTGTTTGAATGAAAACTGATTTTTATCACTTGTTTCTGTTTATTATAAAAATGGTTGACATGGTGTGTGTGAGGGGGTGGGACGAGAAGAAAAGATTTGCAGAAATTTTAAGAACAGTTCCTGCAAATGATATTTTGGAAATTTTTAATGGAACCAAATTCTGAATTCCCTTTGTGCAAACAATCTCAAATGAGAATTTCAAAGAATATTTTAATGAATTTTGTTTTAAAATTATGAAATGAGGCCAGTTAAAAAATATTTTCAGCTGAGCATACAGTCTTAAATAATATTGGTGAGTGTCACTTGTTTTGAAAGAAGATGCATACAATGCTATTTTTTTTATTTAATCACTTCACTCCAAGCAAGGCAATAATACCACTAAGATGCAAGAGGCAAATGGGAGTGAAAGAAAATTTGACTGTTTTCGAATTATTCTATTTTTATTCAAATATATACTTTGGTAAAATAATGTAACCAGTTTAAATAATTTCATATAATCACAACAGATGGAGACACAGGGTTAGAGAGGTATTGCATAATTAAATGAAAACTACTCTCACTGCTATTATCATCTGCCACTTTTGTTTTCACTGAAGCCCAAACTACAAGGGGTTGTCATGGTCATGATTTGAAGTGTCAAGTCAAAGTTCTTGTAAATGACACATAATGGAAGACGACAAGAATTATAGTTCAAATAACCAGGATGAAACAGAATATATTTATAAGTAACAAGAAGTGTCCAGTTCAGGTTGAAAACATTTCATTTCAACCATCTCCACATTATAACATCAGTAACTCAAAGAACAAAAAAGTTGCATATTTAACAGACATCTATGTTTTGATATATGGGGAAATGTAGACGAAATAAGGTCAAGTTGTTTCTGGGCATTTAGGATTACTAGTCAAATATCAATTCTACGAACAAAAATTTCTGTATAAACAATATTTTCAGAAAGACATCTATTTTCTAAAGTTCATTTTCACTATTTACATTATTTGGACTATTGTCCTCATCTTTTTTGCCATATTTATCACAAGGACACATGGCACAATGGATAAAGGCATTGATTAGATTACTTTGCTGCAAGTAATGCTAAATATGAAATAATAAATATGTGAACAAAATCAATGACTGAAAGACTGATGAAGGTTATAGAAAGTCAAAGAGACAACATGATGAACTATTGCATTAATCAATTGTTTCTTTGGATTGTATCTTTTAGATAGACTATTGCATTAATCATTTGTTTCTTTGAAATATATCTTTTGGATTACTGAAAACAAAAAAATTACGCTGCATTTTGCTTATATAATAAAACCCATAAAGCAAGATATTATCAATATCTTTTATCAAAGTTAAATATGGAAGGCAGGAATTCACACATATTTATCATATAAGTATGCCCTGAAAATTTGACCAGTATTAATTGGTCAGTTGGGGTTTATTTTACTGTGAAAAAAAAATTAGTTTCATAATAAAATCTCATCACTATTCTGATGATCTTTGGAATCTGACAAAATCTGTCATCAATGATAAAAAATCAAATCAGATTTTGGTGACTCAATGTTCTGCCACAAAACCATTTTAGCAAAATACTTTTTAGTTTAGAAAGGGAAAAATTTCATATATAATGATTTCATTTAGAAGATAATAAAATTATGTGAAACAAATACAATATGATATTTATTATTTACTTTTATGAAGAAATAAATTTGAAAAGAAATCTTTTTATTTGAAAATTTATAAAAACATTACAAAATTATAAAAAATTTAAACAAACTAAAATGCAATGTTTATTATTTACCAATTTATAATAAAATATAGAACAAGAAAATTTGAATAAAAATATAATACAAACAGATTAAAAGAATATTTGATTCAGAGGAAGAGATGCTCACAGCCTATTTTACTGAATTTATGTGACATGAGCAAATGAAAGAAATGCTTAGAAAGTGCATTTTTTCAAAATTTATACTTACAGTTGCTTGTAGTTTATATTTTTATTCAAATTTTCATGTTCTATAGTCTATAAAATATAGTTTATCAAAATAATTTTGTAATTTTTTAATAAATTTTTGAATAAAAAGATTTTTCAAATTTATTTCTTTATAAAATAATAAATATTTCATTATAGTTGGTTCACATAGTTTTATAATTTTGTAATTTTTTTTTAAGCATTTCACCCCAAGTAAGTTGGAAAGCCACTGGCACGCAAGGGGTTACAGAGGATTTGGAGCGAGAGCAGATAGGAGTGATAGAGGAAATGATGAAGAGAAGGATAGAGGATAGATCAAGGCAACTGGAGATGTCAATTGACATTACATTTGAACAGTTGGAGATTATAGCTATCAAGAAAACAGGAATAAGGAAGGGAGTTCCACATGTGAGAGGTGCAAGATATGAAGCTATTGGAGTAGAAGAGACGGCTACATTTAACAGTTTCAACAGTGAAAGGGATGCCAGACTCGTAGGACACTTGAATTCATGAAGTTTGGAAACCAGCGAAAGCAGCTCATTGGAGCAATTACCATGAAAGTATTTGTAAAAAAGACAGAGAGGGGACAGCATGTCTGTGAGAGAGCGACTGCAGGCGAGATGCCAGATCAGGGCCAATTACATTGCATATCCGTCTCTGGATCTTATCAAGAACTCCGAGACAAACAGAAGGGGCTCCAGACCATATATGGCAGCAATACCCCATGCAAGAGTGAATGGTTGATTTATAAAATTATTTGTTGTAAATAAGACAAAATCTAATAAATAAACAGCATTTAATATCTTTGTTGTCAATTCTGAAGAATAAAGAAAATGTATAAAATCGTTTTTGTATGTTAGGGTTTTATTAAGATTCTAATAATTGCTTTTAAAAACAATAAACATTGCCAAGAGAGTCAACAGTGTATATAGTAATAGTGGCGTCAAGGGAATAACAGTCCCTCTTGAGACATCATTCTTTGCAGGCATGGAAAGAATTCCAGATTTTGGTAATTTTTAAACAATTTCAAGTGTTCATCATGAGTTACGTTTCTAAAATCCCAGAAAGCAAACAAATAACAGAAACTTTCAATGATCGAATGTTCTCTCTTGTTAATTCATTTGTCAATTAAGCCAGATAAATTAGGAGTGGACATATTCAGTTACTAAATGTTGATAATGTGTAAAAATCCTTGGAGAAGAGTTAAGTTTAACTTCCACAAGCAGATCAGATTAGCCAATTACTTGGATGATAAGGTCTTTATGGGAGTCATATGACAAAATAATATCTCAACAAAATACTTCTAACCCACTTGTTATACATCTACCAGGTCTTTTAATTACCTTACATTGGGAAAACACATATAGTAAATTTGAAAGAACAAGAAATATTTAGGATGGAAGTGGCATCATCAAGTACAAAAATAAAACTGTAAACATTTCATTGTTCTTTCCGCAGACTTAAAAATGAATTCTATTTAATTTGACCTTGAGCTACTCATGTGTTGCAGAGTAAGTTAACTAGTGTTGCTAATAAGCAGTTTTTCAAAATTTTTAAGGTGACTGAAAACTTTAGATGAGGAGATGAATATGCAAATGATAAATTTGTGAAAACTTTGAAAAAAGAACAAAAAAAAACAATATTCTCAGTAATTTATTATTAATTACCATTTGTGTGTGTGACGAATGAATATGTTGTTCTCTTCAAGAAATTGTTATAACTTTTGTAATTTGATTCTTTCTTCAATTGAACCTAACATCCCCCTGTTGTTGTATGACTTGGCAATGTCTGCAGTTATAAACATCTCTCCAAGAGAGGGAATTAATTGAATTATTAATTTAATTAATTCCAGACTTCCGAACACTCCCGCAAACCAAACCTTGAAGAAATCTTGGACTTGCTAACCTAAGTTACAAACAAAAACTTCACTTTCATTAAATATCATCACATCTAATTGAATTGGAATCACACATTTCTACCCACATGTACTTCTGACAGCAAGGGGATGGAGAGTAATTTTCTATGAACAAAGCTTGTTGATAGAATAGTACCTGCTGCAAAATAATGAACAAAGGGATTTCTGGCACATTAACATTTTAATGGGTCATAAAAATAACAACTGTTTTTGTTTCTGATAAACTGTTCTCTACAAAGTAAAAGAATAAAATTCAAGAATATAAGATAAAAAAATGCTTTTTTAAAGAAAAAATACATCTGTATTTAATGTTGGGTAGAACATTGGCATGAAAATCACATCTGATGCCTTCTATTCATCCATTAGATTGTTTACCTGAAATATTAATAGCTATAGGGGTCATATAGTACAAAGAAACATTTCTGGTTTACATTATTTCAACAATATTAAGACTATTTATACTATTTGGACTATTGTCCTCATCTTTATTATTAGATTCATGACATTTCGGCTGTTGTAAGATCCGACCTTTTTCAGGTGATACATGCTGGAATTTCGAAGTGAACCCTTTATTTCGTTCATTGAGGTAAAACAATGTAAATAATGTAAATAGTTACAATACGTCATCTCCGAAATAGAGACAAATATTAAAACTGTACAAGTAGATAGCAGGTGAATTGATAAAAGGCATTTCTAGTTTTAGCTGTAAGTTGTAAAAAGAAAGATTCCATATTGTGAGAAAAAATTTTTTAAAAACTGACTGCACACACATGATAGCTTAATTTTTTTTTTTCAGTAAATTCCTCCATCTATTTGTGGGTAAAAAAACAAAATCATAACATGATCATATTAAATTGGGGATTGCGTTTACTAAAAAGGTATATAAATCTTATCAAAACTGAAGCAGGTTAAACGTTTGTTAATCATATAAGCCACCATGAAAGTTCTATATAATTCACTGAGTGAATAAACAAATTGATAAACACATTTTCATCATCAAAGATTTTTTCATATTTGTAGCAAATTTAAATAATTTTAAAAAAAGGAAAATCTCCCCAATTTTGCAAATGTGAGTTGCAGATTTTGAAGTTTAATATCCCAGACTTTCCATCATGTCCGTGACTCAATCACAACATGAAAAAAAAAAAAAAAGCTGTCAAGAAAAACAAACAAAAAAGTATACATACAGGAAAGGTAACAAAAATGTAATTTTTTACCTACCTGTACAGGTGATAAGAATATCAATTTGACGAACAACTTCATTCAGCTTCACAACTCTAAAGCCATCCATGCTGAAAGATTAATAATTATAACTTGGTTGCCATGGAAATCATTAGATATTTACATTCATATCTTATTGAAAATCCACATATATATGTGCATGTGTTTATATATATATATATATATATATATATATATATATAAGTGAATATACATAATATCCAACATGGATAACACTACTCAGAGTTTCATACAGGTTAATGCAACCTTCAAGTGTGGATTTATAACACCTGAGAAATAAATATATTTTCGTATGTGCAAGTATTTGTACATGTATGTAGTTTTTATCTTACCCATTCTTATATATATATATATATATGAAAACGATTAAGATAAGCTACTCCTCTACCAACAGCATGTATAAAATTATCAACTCACACAATAACCATATTTTTAAAAATTTCTATGGGATAAATAACAAAATTGATATTGAACCTTCCTGTAATTGTAGATCTAAAGAAAATTGTCCAGTAGAGGGCAAATTCAGATCTACCGGGGTTATATATGAAGAAACCATTTCTCCCAAAGAAAATATGAAAAATTATAATGTTTACATTGGAATTTCTGCAGGGGAATGGAAACAGATTTTATAGCCATAGGCATTCATTTTCTAACCCTAAACTCAAACACCAAACAGTTCTTTCAAAAAGATTTTGGGAATTGAAAGAGAAAGGTTTGAACACACAGATAGTTTGGAAGATTATAGGTTTCACACATACTCCTAATAGTCTTAGAGATAAGTGTAACTTATGTTTAGAAGAAAAAATTAGAATAATAAAATAATCAGAGCCAACTATTGAATCAGAGAAATGAATGTCAAAATGTTGGCATAAAAACAAATTCAAATTTCCATAATATAGGTTTAATTAGCTATTTCCTTAACATTCACTGCTGTCTAACTCTTCAAATGTCAAAAGTGTAACTAATTCTAATTTCTATTCCCTCCTCTATACCTCTTTACACTATATTTATAATTTATAAACTTTTCCCTACTCTAAGATCTCCACAACCCTCTTTCCATTAATCCTTTACATCAAACTCCATTCACACCGGGGTTGATAAGACAGACAACCGATATTTTTGTCTGCCGAAATAGGCTATTCCCCATATGAGGTGATTTGGGATTTTATTGTTTATTATAATTATTATATATATATATATATATATATATATATATATATATATATATATAATTCTGGTATTTTTACTTTTGGTGTCTTTGATTTTCATTGGTAAACAGGTTTCATGTGCATTCAACTATTTTAAACCAATGTTAATATAATTTATGGTGTTCTCATTTCAAAGAGAGATGATGCCTCAATACAAAGTTCCAAGAAATTAACAAATATCAAGCCTTACTGAAAAACTGTAAATACTGCTTGATATATTAAGTGTATAATAATTCTACTTTGACTATTCAGATGATATTGTGTATGTGTGTGTGTCTGTCTAGTAGGCATTGTTTGGTGCTTTGTCACATGTTGATTTGGGAATGTTTTTATGTGCCTACCATATATATATATATATATATATATATATATATAAAAGATGAAGAAATATAGTCTTAAGATGTACTATATTTATGGGATAAAGTGCTCAATAACAGAGATATAGTGTGTGCAAATATAAAAGTGAACATAGAAGTCAACACTTAGAGAAAGACAGTCTGTTTCATGCTAGATGCAATCGTCAGGACTGACAATTGCATCTAGCATGAAACAGATTGTTACCTCTAAGTGTTGACTTCTATGTTCCCTTTTATATATATATATATATATATATATAAATTCTTGAAAACAAATGATTGAAGTCAACTGTCAGTTGTTCACATTTACCAATTGGAGCCCAGACATTGCTTTAGGGCCTTTTCTAAAACAACAGAACCAAGTGTAAATCTAATATATAACTTATTCAACAGAATCAGAAAGTAACAGATGAAAAGAAAAGAACAAAGGCAGAAATGGTAGAAACCAGGTGGAAAAGAGATTGTTCTAAAAAAAAGAAAAAAAAAAAAAAAAAAAGCCTATATATTTGATAAATACAGACAAAACGATATTTTTACATCAGCTTCATATATTTTGTGGCAGTCCCGACAAAGCAAATGTAAAGCTACTAGGTTTTGATTGCAGTCATATATGCTTGTGTCTGCTTGGTGCCTACCCCTGGGGAAGCAGAAAATGAAGGCAGAGTAACTTACCAAGCCTGCAGAGCACAAATTGGATCAATTTCAGTGACCATGACAACACAGCCCATTCCTTTCAAGGCCTGGGCACAACCTTTCCCAACCTGCAACAGGAAAAAAAGGCATCAGCTTAAGACAAGCAAAGAGGAAACAGAAAGTCGAGATAAAAGAACTAAGAATTCACTTGATAAAAAGCTGCATTCCTTCAGCTTTGATTAAAGAATTCAGAGATATTACTAACATGCACTTATGTGTGCATTATAGCATACCATACATATATACAGGGTTTATATGTTCTTGGCTTTGGCTTACTTTCCAAAATCTGACTAAAATGACTCATCAGAATTTTTTTTGTTCTTGCAAAATCCCTTCTTTGTCTGCTCAAAAGACTTTTCAGCATTTCCTTCTATGTTTCACTCATGTATACAATGCTTATCCTTTTCAGCCTCTTTTGGCATCGACATTTCTCCAATAATACACTTTACTTTGTCTTACTATGTCAAAAGTAAATTCTGAAATTCAAGCCAGTTCACCTATTTTTTATAATTAAGAATTTTTATAAAATCCCTGCATATTGTTTGGAAGTTTTTTTTTGTTTTTGTTTTTTTTAATAATAATTGTGTTGCCGTTAAAATAAAAAAATGTTAAATAATTTCATAATTGGGACTTCCTATCCTTTGAATTGTTTTGAATCTACCAAGCCAAAATTTCCAATCATTTAAACAAATTAAAAAGAAACCTCACTTCTCCATAACCACAAATCAAGACTTGCTTTCCACCAAACATCACATCTGTGGTTCTCTTCAGGCTAAAAAGGAAAGCAAACAAAAATAACATAAACAAACCTAAGAAAAAATCTAGCATTGCAAAATAAAAACAAAAAAAAAGAAAAAATCCATTAACATCAGGAAAACTCGTGCAATCTGAGACATAATGTTGTACTACAAGAATAGAACTGGATATATGTGCTTGTTTTCAGTTTCTGAAGGAATTTCTTCAAATAACTTTAACAACTTTCAGAATCTTCCCAAAACAGAAAACAAGACCTGCATTAGGTTTTCACTTGTGCTTCTATCAACCAAGAAAGCAAATTTTATCAAATAACACAGACTTGTGCTTCATTTGAACATTGTTCAAAAAGTTTTACTCATGAACTTATACACAGATTGGCATTTTATAGTTTTTACATGTCAAGCATATTTCAAAATTAATAATTTGCAAATATAAATGTAACAATATAAAACCATATGAATTACAAATAACACAAAGTCTACAAGAGGACTACCAATTTCCAGGAATTTGAGACATTTTCATTTACTTTACATACAAAATGTTCAACTAAAATAAAAACTTTGGCAATTTTAGAAAAATGCCTCTTCATTTCTCAGATTCTGACATAAAAAATTCAAAAATAAATTTGCTTTTTAAAATTCCAAAGAAGAGCTTTCTATGGCAACAATTTGTCATAAGTAGAAATCAACATTCATGAATTGAGTTCAACCCTTTGTGTATTATTTAAAAATGAAACATAATTTGCATTGTGAGAATTATTTTCTTTTTGTGAGTGAATATTGAATTAACAAATTTTGGGAGATAATGATTATTCCAGATCCTGCTATTTAACCCATAGAAGGGTTAGACAGGAGAGAAGAGATGGATTTATACCATTACCAATGGTATTTGCATATAAGGGAATGTAACAAACTCATCTGGAAATTGAACTTGGCTCTCCAATTTCTCATTCCACATCACTATTCATTACACCACCTGCACACCCACTTCATAAATTGAAAATTCAAGATCATAAAATATGTGTGTGTGTGTGTGTGTGTGTGGTGGTTTGGTGATTAAATGTTAAAATAGGCAAAAAGCGATGAGAAATGATAAAATGGTGTAGAGATAGGGAGACATTGCCAAATGTTAAAAAATATTTTGTCTTAAATAGAGCAACAAAATGCTGTCATCATTGCCCAAGGTTTATTCAGTCAAAAGCTACCTGATAAATGGTCGAATAAGTGGGCCTAACAGAAAGCAATCACCTGCAATAAAACCCATTTGAACCATTTAAATCAGTGATTCTCAACCAGGGCTCCATGTAACATTACTGGAGGGGCCACAAAAAAAAAAAAAAAAAAAAAAAAAAAAAAAAAAGAAAAAAAAAGTAAAATTGGGGGTCCACAGTAATATTTTAGTGGTCCATAGAGCAATTTCACTTCAGAACGGTCGTTACAAATGAGAATTGAAATTTCTACAGTAATCTATACCATATTGAAATACTAATAATAGAAAAACAACTCTAAAACTAGCAGAAAATGAGATTAAGTGATGTAAGTTAGCATTCCTTTTAGTCTACTGGATGTTTTAATTATAACAGTTAAATAAAAACTGGGCAGGATTATATATATATATATATATATATATATATATATATATATATATATATATATATATATATAATAAAGGCTCAAATACTAATATTCCATGGTTATAATTTATAACATTGGAATCATGATCCAATTCATCAGACCTACAAATTCAAAAAATTTGTAGGTCTGATGAATTGGATTGTGATTACGATTCCAATGTTACAAATTATAATCATGGAATATTAGCATTTGAGCCTTTTATATTATATTCTTAGTCTGTCTTGGACATTGAGTTCTACCTGGTTTCTATCCTCTTGGGAATTTATATTTTTTTTTTTTTTTTAACATACAACATGTGTTAGCACGTGCGATACCCTGTCTTCATCAGCCGCCGACCAGGGGGGATCTCACGGTTTCGGTGGCTATGGCGGGACCGCCACCCCTAGCGCCACCAGCAGCGTTTGCCACCAGACAGGGTATGAAGATAAGCTAACTAATTGTTCCTTTAAGTAAAATCTATCTGCAATGAAAGTTTCTTGAACGCGTTTGCTGTTATTGACGCGCTCGTAAAAGTTGTTATAGACGACCACGCAAATATCTCACTTGCGCGTGTTAGGTCGTGATGTTGTGCACATTCTATTTGCTTGTTTTGATCTCGACCAAATCCAACTTGACGCGTGTTGAACAGTTTTTTGAAGGCGATGCGAAACGCTTTTCAGCCAATGGCCAGTGATGCCTATTTTTGAAAGGAAGGAAATGGCTGATTGTCCCAGAAACCCACGACACTATATAGGCATCATGTGACACGTCCAACCATTTTCAATATCCTCGGCATGCAGTGACTCGTACCGGTTTTTCTTTAGTTCGTGCGCCTCCACCCTGTTCTCTTCCCAATTTTGACCACTAATATTATATATATATATATATATATATATATAAAGGGAAATTATATAAAGATTATATAAATTAATATAATATATTAATAACAAATAATATTAATTTTAAATATTAATAAAATAAAATATTAATATAAATTATTTAATATAGTAATAGACTGGACATTGTGAAAAGGGGTGATCTTTGACTATCATTGACATTGATGGAGCCAAAATAAAATTAAAAAAATCTTGCAGAGCATCATCACCCACAAGGATCTCATTGAATAAATTTGCACACTTAAAAATTTATTAATTACACATATTTTTTAAAATGGTTTATATTATGAGTTATTTTACTCGTGTACATAAATGTTCCACAGAATTTAGTTGTTAAATAAAAGTTTATTTTCATTAAATTCGTATTATTTCAAAATAAAACAAATACTTTTACTAGTTCCATAATACAATTCATAAACTTAAAAAATAAAATAAGCTTTTTTTTTCATCAAATGAACATGATGGTGTACCAAAAAAAAATAAAGAGTAAAAATGATCCATGGATAAAAGAAGGTGGAGAATCACTGATTTAAATAATAAAACTAAATTTTAAACTATAAAGAACCCTAGCCCTAATTTTACAATGTGAAAGATACTTACGCATCCAAAATGGATTCCCTACAGCTATACAGATTGTCAAATTTTGTCTGAAAAAGAAAGAAGAATTAAAAATTTAAAAAAATTTTTTTAACATTACATAAAATTCTGAAATTAAAATTAAATCGATTAGTGAATACAATTGTCAGTCTAATAGTCAAGAATTAAACAGTGTTGACCATATCTTAAAATTTAAGAAATTACCAATTGATTCCTGAAATTAAATTTTTGATATTTAAAAAAAAAATACTTTTGTTTTATTTCCATATTAAAAAAAAACAAAAAAAATAAAAGAAAACAAACCAAAAAACCTTAAAGTCTGCATTAGGAGTGTTTTAAATAAATCAACTGAAATAAAATTGAAATTTATGTCTCATGTTTTAAAAAATCCTCATCTTATATTTGGAATTTTATTAATTTTAGGTAAAAAGCAAAGAAAAATAAATTTACTTTGAGTAACTAAGAAAATATCTTAAAAAGATTGTTTTCTTTGATTCTTTTCAATTCTTTGTTTAATCAAGTGAATTTAAATATCCAACAAAATGAGGCAATAATGGCTTGAAAGAGACTAAAAGTCCAGGTAATGTCAGATTTCCTTGCTAGTTGAAGCAATCAATTTTGAACTAAGGATTATACATAGCAAATACAAATAATGAAGTTATTTCCTGCATGTAAGACTCTTTTCGATCTAAAAAGAGTTTTTGATAAAGAACCTAAATACACAGGGTTTCAAATGTGTCCAGCTTTTGGCGCATCTGAAGGTCATTTTCCCCCCCATTTGTAGATGGGTCATCTTGGTGCAAGATAAATTGACCCTGTATCAATGACAGCAGTAAACAATAGGTCAGTGTTAGAAAATGAAAAACACTGAAGGGACATTCAAGCTTTATTGAATGTTGAATTGATTTGTTGAAATTGACCTGAGACAATAGGACCAAACTAATCTGGTCTCAAGATGAGAAAACATTGACAATAAGTGAGCAAAGATGAAAAGAATTTTTTTTATTTGGTGTAATTAAGAAATAATATTCTGTGTCCAGTATGACTGGGGACACACATACACGTAGGTTCAAATAGTTATAGTTATAGGGACAAGTGCACACTAAAACATTTAGGGAATATTTCCAAAATTTATATTCAAAAATTTATTACCATAGTAGGTTAAGGTTGGTTGTGAAAAAACAAAAAAAAAAAGTCTAGAAGTCTTGCATGTTAAATCTTAACAATTATTGCATCTGTTAAAATAATTGACTTAATGATCCAAGTTTGTTTTGCATGGAAATTAAGATTAGGCACATGCAAGAGTTTAATACAATTTTTTTCCTCTCAGATGAACCAATGTCCAAATTATATTGATCATTGCGAATAATAACATCACTTGTCTACAATTGAAGACTGCTTGTTCCTTACTAGATTTCTCTCCTTTCAGAGCAGAAGACAGGTATCTGGATTGGTTTGGACAGGTGTGTTGTGAACATCTGATCTCACCAAATAGTCCATCAAATTTAAAGACTATTTCATCAATTTATGGAAATGACAAATAGAGTTGATTAATATACAGATAGCATAACGCTCATCAGTGCAGAAAGCAAAATTTAGCATGAGGAGTTCAAATTGAGACCTAGCATTTTGTTCAGTCTGCCTTAATGCCCTTGGAGAAGGGCATGAATCCATCCCCCTACCCCCTTATAGACTAAATATCAGAGCAAACTGGCAGCTAGTATGAAAGAAGGGTAATTAAATTCAAACCCTTAATAATAGGGTAGACTAGGCCTTCTAGTTTTGGCAGGGTAACTAAAGACCAATCAGAATTCAAAACCAAGCTAAGGTGCGATGGTCTCCGTCAGGCTATCTAGACCAGTGTTTCCCAACCTTTTTTCAACCAGTGCCCCCTTTGAGCACAAACTTTTTGTCAATGTCCCCTGTCAAATTAAATATTATAATGAATTCATCTTTCACACCAACAATTGGGATTAGTGCAAAAGTAATTTTAATATTGTTTTCATTTCTATTATAAATGCCAATGATTAAAATGCTAAAAAAAACTTTTATTTGATAGCTTATCTCGATGCGATAGTTGACTTTGGTGCTTACTGACTAAAGCTTTTACTCTAGTTTTCATGTTGCTTAGAAGTAATCATAGATCTCCTTATTTTGTAATTTGTAGACACTGTCTTTGTTTTGTAAGAAGCTGTGCAAGTGGGTTGAAACTACATTCAGCCATATAGGAAGTTGGAATGGAAAAGCAATGAACAACAGTTTGTTAGCTTCCCACAGCTTTTGATACATTTCAGAAATTTCTTTTTATAGCCAATATTGAATAATTTTTGAAAATTTAAAAAAAAAAAAAAAAGAATGGATAAATGCCCTCCACCTCCCCAGAGTATGTTAACCCCCTCCAAAATGAAATAAAAACTCCCAGTGCCCCCTTTCAACATAACAGATTGCATAAGAGGGTGTTAGTTCCCATGTTGGGAAACATTGCTACTATGGGTGTAGTACATATGGTGCTCCTATCGCCCTAATGGTTTACAGGTTACTGGGAGCAGAGGCAATACAATTCAGGTGAGAAACAACAACAAAAGGTAACTGATTGTAAAGTAGAGAAAAGGAAATAATCACTTCCATGAGATTAACTGGCAGTTCCTGGGAATATTTAACTCTTTTCTTAATTGAAGTTTTTGATGAATCCTAATTTTTCATTTAATAGTTGAAGACATGCCTTGCAAAATCCACACCTAGAAAATAGCCACGGATATTTCCCTATTCCATAGTTAAATATTTGAGTTTAACAGTCTTAGCAAAATGTTATAAGAACAATCCTAAATATGAATGTAGGTCATTAATTAAAGAAGTAAAAGGGTACAAATAAAAAGGTTAGAAATTGACATATTTTCCCTTTCAGCGAAGCAGACGTTGAACATGTAAGAACCTTGCTCGTTCATTTTTTTCTTTCAAACCAAACAACACCTGATATGTCTTTTTTTATTTTCCTCATTACTAAAATTGTAATAGTTCATTATTTCTGAGGTATCAGCAGGACAAAACGTACCAAGTACTAATTAACTAACAAACTCAGGAGCTAGAGAAAAGTTAAAATTATTATATGATAATTACACATCTAGACATTCAGAGAGGACTTTAACTTTGTTTCGCTGCAATCCATGCTTTTTTCTGAGTAAATAAACAAATTAATTTATTTTATTTTTTAAATACTATCTTTATTGCAAAAAAAGAGCTTTGGTCTGGCTGTACAAATTGCAGCCTTATTTTTCTGAAGAAAATTTGTATCAATTCATGACTACGAATATTCTGTTTTTTTTTCCCCGATTTTTAAAGTTTGATTTTTCTGACAGATTCAGATACTTCAGTAAATGATTGAAGAAGTTCTTTGCAAGTTCCACGCCTATAAAATACCCATGGAAATTCCCCTATTTTATAGTTAAATATTTGAGTTTAACAAAATATTGTAGTAACAATCATAAGTATGAATGAAGATCATTATTTAAAGAAGTAAGAGGGTACAAATGAAAAAGTTAAAAACTGAAATGTTATCACTTCTATCTTTTCTTTCTTTCTTAATCTTATATATGCTTTCTTTTTCTCACTAAAAACAAGCAGTATCTCTAATGTATTGTTTTCTTCCATCTTTCCTCACAATCAAAACAGAATGGGCCATTATTTATCTGAGGCAATGTCAAGGTGTAACATATGTGCTAACTTCCCAATGAAGGAACAAACAGAATTATATGATTTTTAATATTCAGAAATACCTAATTAAGCCTGATTTTCAGAAAACTCATCAATATGTAATATACAAGGGTTGTGGTTGCTCATATTCCTTATATAAGAGGAAGTATATGTAAAGTTGGTATCTGGGTACAATCTACAACAAATAATAACAGAATGTAACAGTAGACATGGACTATTGAAAGGCAGTTTTTTTTAACTGAAGTAAAGCAACAATGCCACTAGAATATGTTGGGGTGGGGTTACAGGGATTACAAGGGAAGGAGAAGACTTTAGTGAGGAAAAGGAACAGGATTCAGGAAAACAGAAAATGGGGATTGACATTACATTTAAATTTTTGAAGATTTTAGAAGGCCGGGAAGCAAGAAATCTGAAGGGATTTCCACAGGTGAGAAGTGCAAGAGAAGAAACTGTTAGAACAGAACTGATGGTTACATTTAGCTAGTTCAACAGTAGGTGAGACCTAATTGCCAATCTAGTAGCATGCTTAAATTCATGCTGTTGAGGAACTATGGAAAAAAGCTCATCAGAACAGTTACTATGAAAATATTTGTAAAAAAAGACAGAGAGAAGCCACATTACATTAGTAAGATAGTGACTAAAGTCAAGATACTAGATCAGGATCGGTTACATTACAAACTCGTCTTTGAATTTTTGTCAAGAATCTCAAGATATATAGCAGGAGTACCAAAACCATATATAGCAACAATATTCAATGCATGGGTTATGGTAGATTTATTGATGTACATGATGGATTCTGACACAATACAATGAACCAACTTTCTTAGCAACAGATGTAGCATTTGATTCAATACAGCTGCTCCACTTCATGCCAGGAGATAGTTTGAAAGGCAATGCGTTCAAGCAATGAGTAACCAATACTTTTGTAGTGTTTAGTCATTATAGCAGATTTAGCTGAAACGTTTTACTTCTTTAATAACAAGGATTAATTTGATTGGCTAGAAAATTAATTACTGTATTTTCTGGCTTACAAGATCACTTTTTTACCTGAAAAATACTTGGTCATCTTCCAAGTTGAATGTAAGGCTATGTCCAGGTAAGTTTGGATGGTCATCTAAATGGCTTGACTGATAGGGACATGGATTTATATGTTGAGTCATTACACTATAATGTTAACTATCTAATTCAGCCTTTTATATGATGTAACCTCAGTACTTAGCTGTTACAAGTATTTCCAAGACTATAACCCTTCCTGGAGCTGAGCCAGAACCTTAAACATGCTTTGTTTACTAGCAGTGATGGGAGCCTTTCTGTTCTTGACTAGTATGTCATTGCCATACAAACAAAATCAGACGAGTGATTAATGTAAACAATACATGGCCCCAGTATGTGAGGGATGCATGGTGAATGTGTTATTGTATGAGAATGACTTTTTTTTTTCTTAGAAATTTTTTTCCAATATTAGGGTGTGTCTTCCATGCCACAACATCTTGTAAGCCAGAAAATATGGTATATCAAATTAAGTTACTTCTAAACATTCCAAAATAAGGGAGATAATTGCTCACTGTAACATAGTGAAATTTACCTTTTACCCTTAATTACACAAGTTTAAAATAAGTTGTCTTTCTATTCTGTAATTAAAACTAAAATAGGAATTCTACACAAGGCCGCACCCAATTACAGGCCAAAAGCTTGTAGATCCAGTTTAAAGAAAAAAAGAGGGCTACAAAAAAAAAAAAAAAAAAAATAAAAAAATATGAGGACTTAAACTTACCTTAGTAACAGAATCATTTACATTCATAGCTGGAACAGTGAGTTTTTTGGACTTTGATAATTGGTACAGACGGTGTACACCTGTGACACTCTCTTCTACAATGCCTTTGATGCTGCTAAACATGGCCGGGTACTTTTTCAGCATTAAGTGGGTGGCATCTCCACCATCATCCAAAATCTTTAAAAGAGAACACATTTTTATTCACTTTCAGATGTAAATAATAATAATAATACAATCATCATTTCTGAAGACCCCAGCCCCCATAACAATTTGATTAATACTAATGTGTGGGTGGTGTAATAAATAATAGCTCAGAATTTTTAATTGGAGAGCCGAGTTTCAATTCTGATTGAGTTCATAATATTGACTTACACACAAATAGCCTTAGGAAAGTTATTAACACACCTCTTATCACCCCAGTTATGGGTTAATTAGTAAGATTTGTATCAGTAAACTACTATTATCTTAAAAAAAAAAATTCTTACAATCTAAAAATATTTTTTGGTTTTAAATAAAATGCAAAGGGTTTGATAAGTCATAGGAAATGAATAAAAAAATGAAAGCTAGCAGTACAAGTGAATATAAATGAAGAAAATCCAATGTAAGCAGTGCCATGCTTTCACTAATTAATCTTCTTTGGCCACTTTATATGACGGACATATTTCTCTGTGGCTTTAATGTTATGTTTTACTAGTTTATATATTACTACTACTACTCATAGTTCCTTTCACTTATGACTTTTTTCTTCTGTATTTTAGGAATTTGTCTGGGTATATTGTATTAACTGATACCAATGAATGTAATTGGTACTTTATTTTGTGATAATTCCTTTTACCATGCCATTAATAACAATGTCATTTGAGTAAATAATATTATGAAATGACCATCAGAGGTCAAATTAAAAAGTTTATTGCAGTGAGTGTTTGGATAAATTATCTGACAGAAGACCTCAACTTTGCATATAAGAAATATGGCTGATTTTTTTTGGCAAGAAAAAGTGTGTTTGATATGCCAACAGATACATAGTAGGTATTTATTTATGCATCCCTCCCCCACAAAAAGAATGTGACACAAGGTCAAGGATGAATGATGAAAGCCAACTCAGCATTTCCCTTTTTGGGGACACTTCAGGAAGTCAAACAAATACAAAAGCTGATAAACTAGATAGCTATAAACATCGAAAAAAAAAATTCTTTTCTGTGTTTAATCAGTATTAGAAACTTCTATTATTTTCTGGTGAATAGACATCTATATGAGTCATACAACACTCAACAATATTTTTTTTAATCATTTCACCCCAAGCAAAGCAACAAGACCATGTGTGAAAGAATGAGAAAAAGAAAACATTTATTAAGCAAAGAGAACAATAAAAGAACAGGAATGAAGAAAAATGATGACTGACATTGTTTTTAAAATTTGAAGATCAAAGTTGACTGGAAAGTAAGAAGCTGGAAGAGAGTTTCACAAGCGAGAAGTGTGAGAGAAGAAACTGTCAGCATAGAACTTATCATTACATCTAATCATTTCTGTTGTAAAATAGACCTGTTTACTAATCTAGTACTGCATTTAAATTTATGGAGACAAGATACCAAAGAGGAAAATTCATTAGAACATTACCATGAAAATATTTATAGAAAAGGCACAGGGAAGCTACATTATGGTGGTGGGAATGAGACTGAAACAGAGATGCCAGATTGGGACCAATAACTTTGCAGATACTTTTTTATATTTTATCAAGAATTTCTAAATATATAGTAGATGCACCAGACCAAATGTGGCAGCAATATTCAAATTTTTTAGAAGCAGATCTAGCAATTAATTCAATATTAGCCAGAGAAGGTGCAATAAGTAACTCCCATGGAGGTTAGCATCAGCCATATGATGATAAAAGGCAAAACAGTTTCTCTAAGACAATTAAAAGAGAACAGTTTTGTTTTGGGAGCATTAAAATTAACAAGGCATTCTTTGTTCCAGTTAACATTTGCTTTTGTAGAGTGGAGAACTTAAACAAATGCTGTGTTTTCTTTTTTTTGCTGTCTCTACGAAGTGGGAATGATTCTTCTGTCCAGTATCTAAAGTTACTATCAATTCAAACATAGAACAAGTGAGTTTTGCTCATATTTTGACAAAATTATTACAACCATTATTTTGTGTCATTTTTTATGACTAAAAGCAAAGACTGTCATTAATGCTTCTTGGTCAATAATAATCATGAGGGCAGGAGAGTTCAGACAAATCTTTCGGGTGCAGTTTGACATCTTATGAAATTGATTTTTGCATTAATGAATGAAGATGCCATATTTTAATGCCTTTACAATAATATTTTAAATAAAATACATTTTTGGTCATAGCAGAAAGCATTATTTATTCATATGAAAAATCCTTCCATTGGTAGCAGATAAAAAAAAAAACAGGATTTTGTGCTTTACAGTAGAGTAACTTAGTAGACCATTTGAACAATAATGATTTTAATTCATACACAGCGACCTATATATGTGGCCTTGTGCCAGACTCAGGTGAGTAAATACTGATAAGGAAGGAAATATTTTTGCCTCCTTATAGCAAACAGGATCAGTAAAACATTTACCAATGTCCAGAACAATTAATCATTGACTGGTCAGTTTTCTCACCCATTCAGTACTTCCTTGGTTGGCATAGGGTAGAGGTGGGGATACATGCATTTGTGCTAAATTGCCAGACATACAAACCATGTTTGGTTGCCAATGTTCATTATTGATGCATTTATCAATGCTCCACCAGAAGTCTTCTTCATTCTCTCCTTTCCAAGCAAAAATCGGGTAACCACCTTCAGCCAACGCAGCAGCAACTTCATTCTGAAATGCAAAGAATGTCACAAAGAAAATAACACATAGAAATTGATTCTAAACATTTCTTGCTGAAACTGAAACATCTTATCAAATAAGAACATGTTGGATGTCAGACAGAATTTTACTTCTGACATGCAAAGTATTTTTTTTCATGACAAAATTCAATTTATCACAAATAATTAATGCTAATTTAGTGCCTGTTGCTGGCTGGATAAAATCTAAATTCAATGCCTATTGAAATTAGTACATTTATTAGGAAATATATTCAGCTTGAATTGGGAAGACTTAAACACACATTTTGACTTAGACTTTTTTTTTGGCCAGACTAAAAGAAAAATAAGCCCTTACATTACAGGTACCTTTCTCAATTGCATTCAGATTGAGTGTGGATGTAAGTTTGCATGTGCACATATATATTTTAATTCAATGAGAAGCCTAAAAATATTTCAACAAAATTTAGAAAAAGGTTTAAAAATAATTTTATTTATTATCAAAAAAAAATTCTAATGGTTTCAATAAAATCTTTCAAATATCTGAGTTTTAGGTTTAAAAAGTTTTTTTTTTTTTTTTTTTTTTACTTTTTCTGTCTCCAAATTTGATTTTATTGCTCAGCTCAGCATAGGGGTTGCCTAGACTGAGTAGGAAGGAAATGTCTTTTTTTTTCTTTAAAACTCCCTCAATTGTGTGTTTGTACATATGTTAAATGGCACAGGAACTCATGCACAATGCAGACATATGCATATACATTTTACATATGCACATGTGAAGTGACATGCAGTGTGTGATAGAGAATCAGCTTTTTTGTTTTTCATAATACTGATTAATATCAAGCTAGAGTGTGCATCAACATTCCTGTAATAATTTGCAGACTCCTTTAATCTCCTCATCTTTAAAAAGAAAATCTGTTGTCTTATTATTCCAGGATTCCAAGTTTAATCATCAAATAAAATTCCCTGATAATTCTCCAATTTCTTTGAAAAGTTCCACTGAAATGCCTGGATTTGGGGATATCACATCACAGACAGAGACTAGCAATAGGATAGTTTTTTTCATGGCAAATTCAGTATTAAGATTTCAATCCATTCATTCAAGATTTTTAAAAAAAAAAATTTTTTTACTAAATTTTAAAAAACAAATATCCTCTAAAGAACATTTAGCATTTATTTTTAAACAATTTTTTTTAACTAAAACACACAAACATATTCAATGCATGTCAAGTTGCATTAGGAAAATCCCTGATTTCCAGGTTGGCTATGAACCCTGGATTCCAAAAGGTCATTGAAAACTAAGTAGACAGCAAAATCGACTTAGCAATTAATGGACATTAGCAACCTCTCATTACATGTCAGTGACCACTAAATAATTTACACCAATAATCTAATAGTAACCATTTTTAAGCATTGGACTTTAGACAAGTCAAAAATAGCCATATGGTAGCCAGTCATTTATTATGACAGTAAATCACCAATGGGTCATTTAGTAAATTAGTATTATGAGTTTATAATGTTACAAGGAATGAAACAACCAAGTTTTTGTAAATATAGATTACTGAATGACCAATACAGCTTTGACTGACATATGAATCTGTGTGTATTAGAGATAGTATCTTTACTAACCAGGAATTTAGCCATCAAATATTGGCAGTTACCTAGTAGGAAAATTATCATAGTTTGGCCACATGCCGTTAATCATTTGTTGCCAACAGCAAATGGAACACTGCCGATTGATTATTTGACCAAAGGGTTGCAAGAAATTTTTTCATCTTTCATGGGCTTTTTCCTCATCAGATTTAAAATGAGGCTGTGTGTAACATGATAGTGAAAAAAGAGACAAGAAACAATATTAAGGAAGGGAAAAAGTATACAGAACACAAAATGTAGAAATTAGAAACAATTTCAGGCAGGCTGAAGAGTAAGGGCTTATGGAAAAATAAGAGAAACAATGAGCATCATACTTATTATAAAACCCAGGTTGTGTGTGTGTGTGTGTGTGTGTCTGTACATTTATAGATTGGATCGGATTTCCTACATTTTTCAACTGATTTCAACAAAACTTCACAGGACTACGTAAAATTACCTTGTGGTGGTTCTGACAGTGCCAAAAATTGGAAAAACACAATTGTTTTTGCATGAAATCAATTTGAAAACACGATTAAGAGTCATCGCGAGAATGAAAGGGGGACAACTCATATCGAGTTATACTTATTATAAAACCCAGGTTGTTTGTGTGTGTGTTCGTTTATATGTGGGATCGGATTTCCTACATTTTTCAACCGATTTCAACAAAACTTCACTTTTTTTTTTGGCAGGTAGTGTTTCTTATTGTATTGCACACTTTTTTCTTTATTTTTACATTCAGAATGCTTTAAAAATTCTATTTACAAGACAATTGTTTAGAAGAAAATTCTATTCAATCGGTAGACTCATAATGATTGAAAACAATGTTTTTGTTCCAGTTTGGTCTTGACCAATTTGTAAAAAAAAAAACAAAAAAAAACTAATTAATACATGTATGTCCGTCAACCTTAAACAATAATCTTTGTCAGTTTTCTTTTTCAGTCTTTATGATGGTCGATACTTGATCTATCTCTTACTGTTACATCCCCGGGCAACGCCGGGCTCTACTGTTAGTCATAGATAAAACAAGTATATGTACAAGAATAAAGGAATTAACAGGACAAAAGATGTGCTCATCAACAGGTGATAATAAATCAAAGGAGGCAACACTGACAGTAGAAAAATAAAAAATAATCCAAAGAGAAGACAGATATGTTAGAGAATTGGGTTATTTAATGCCAACAAGATTTTTAGAATATGTTCGTATGAATAGAATATGTATTCTTTGTAATAAATCAGTTTGTAGATCAGATTTCATTGACGTATTTATGTAAAGAGGATTTGTCGAGAGTCAAACGTATTGCTGAGATTTTTATACTTTTTTTTTAGTGTTTTGATCTCAGTTTGGGTGTTAACTATTTGCCCATAGCTGGGACCCTAACAGGCGCTACCATGCCGGGTCAGGGTGAACCTGGGAACAACAGCAATTAAGAGGTGGTTCCACCCTCCTCAAAATCTTGCTGCCAGATAGAATTTATCATCATACCCAGGATGAACAAAACAATATAGAAGAACTGGAAATATGAAAGTCTGAGGTAAGATCAGCAGTGGAAAGGAAAAAAAAGCAACAGGACCAGATGGGATCAAAACAGAAATGCTCTCAGCCCTTGATGATTTCGCCATTGACAAGGTCATGGAAATAATAAATGAAATATTTAACAGTGGCGATATACCAGAAGACCTCAGTGGATCCATCTTTGTAGCAAGACAGAAGAAAGCAGATGCAAAAATGAATGTGAGTGCCATTGGACAATCAACCATATAACCGAGCTAATAATCTGAATTCTAATGACTAGAGAATTATGAAGAAGTAGAATAAAATGTAAATTGGCCAAGGACAGTATGGCTTTGTCAAAGACACTGGAACAAGAAATGCTATGATCAGAAATGGTACTGGAAAGAGTAAATACAAATGCAGAAGGTGGTTTAGATCTATGCTTTACAAATAACACAGAAGATTTTGATAACGTACGGCACACAGATCTATTTGGGAGGGATATTAGAATAATCCAGATAACAAGAACAAACTGCCTGCATTTGGATAAAAAATGAAATGAATCGGTACACAAAAATAGAAAAGGGGAGTAGGAGGAGGATGTGTTTTCTCAATTTTTACAACCTCTACAACGAGGCTATCCTAACGGAGATGGAAACCCTGCCAAGATTTATTACCAGTGTGTATAATCTTAACAATATGACATTACATAGATGACACTGTGTTGATGGCAGACACAAAGAAAACAACAGGAGCTTTTAAACAAAGTAGTAAAGGAAAGCAAGAAGAAAGGACTAACTGAAAGAAGATAAAATGTGTGGTTGCCAGCAAAAGAAAAAGTGCAAGATGTAAAACTACGAATTCGAGATATTACATTAAACATAAACAGAAATTTAAATATCTGGGATATATCTTAACAGCGGATGGAGAATGAAACACCAAAATTTGAACATGATTAGTGAAAGATGCCTTGAAAAAGATAAAGTATTAAGAAACAGAAAAATTATGTTAGAAAAGAGTACTGAAATGTTATGTAATATGGCAGTGAATGGTGGACAACCTCCTCAGAGATTTAAGGCAACAGAAACATGGTTCTACAGAAGGATACCGAGAATCACATGGACTGAACATGTGAGCAACAAGGAAGTTTTCAAGAAAATTGAAACAAAAGGACAATTATACTTAGAATCAGAAAGAAACAATTGAAATTTCAAAGGTGAAAAGAAGTCTTGGAGAATTTAACACTTACAGAGTATATCTCAAACAAGAGAGACAGGGGCAAGCACTGGGTCAGCTACCTGATGAGCTTGAGTGAATGGTGGGGGAAGGCTTGGCAAAAAGCTCAGGGTTACGAGGGATACGAGGTTGAGGGGAGCCATAATCAATGAAGAAATCAAGATTTGAGATTTATTAATTGGTGTAACATGATTTTCTTTATTTCTGACTAGTCTGTACATTCATATTTTTATAAAATCTACAAAGTACAAACTGCATCAAGTAGAGGTCTCTTCATAGAATAGAATTAAGACAATCAGGCCTATCAACATCTATATGGGTTATATTGTGTCATGTCTCCTCAGGTTTTTTTTGAAAAATCAATAAACAATGTGTCAATAAAAAAAAATCTTTTTGATAAAAAAATATTCTCTGGATGTTGGATTGTGTACTAAAAAATTTTTCAGTGGTTTATTTTTTCCCCTGAAATTCATCCAACATCTGAATTAATGAGCCATCAGCATGGTCGTTAAAAGCTGAATGGATGAATTTTGATTTTTAACTGAATTAATCAACTGAAATCAAAAGGGAATTAAAACTTATAAAATGTTCTTCAGCATTAATACTTGTATGATCTTGCAAGCCATTGATTCTGGTCCTTGATTCAAATGACTTGTAAT